GACAAAGTCACTGAGGCAATACTGCAACTGCCACTCCTTGGACAAAGGCTGGGAAATCCTTAAACTTGGATTATTTGCTAGCGAATGATCAGCTCCTGGTAAAGGATTTTCATGTTTATACACCAGTAGGAAGTAGTGAATACGGCGCACTCATGTTCAACATGGTCATAAAAGAAGCACTCAGGCAGGACTAAAACGAGCCCTACCTTTGTTACACTAGGGCGAATTACACGCGCATGAGAGAGAATCTTCTACATACCCCATGGGCATGGAAATGGCGGAGGTTGATAGTGGGTGATCACTGGCATCATCCAGAATGCTGTCCTAAACAATTTACCTCGGGAACACCACACACACGGAAACAAAAGGACATGAGTTTAACGCGGCCCTGAATGCTTGCCATAGGAGAAGAAGAGAGCCTGGTAGAAGCGGAAGGCCTCTGAAGGATTCTGATAGCAGTTCTTACTTAACATTGAAAAACAGATGCAACATCAAAGTTCGAAATGATAGGAGACGCCGTTAAATGATGCCAAAATACTGGTAAACCATAGGCATCCGTTCAGCCTCCTGCCAAAAAGACATACAAACTAGGGTGGTTGTCCTCTCTAAGGTCCAAATAGCGAAGATTTCGTCAACCTAGAGATGGCTGAGATCCTCAAAACCAGCTTCTCTGATCAATAAAACCAATTGGCTGCACATATACAGTACTGCTCAAACCTAGTACCCCTTGATCACCTAGGTAATATCCACCTTCCTTCAGATTCAGTACCGATAAAAATAAACTTTCGTCCCGGGAAGTCACCAGGATGTGGAAATATTTGCTCCTTAGTCTTGAAACAGTGTGCAGAAGCTCTCAGTCCACCGACATATGACCTGTCTAGGCATTCGCTGGAGTCACTCCAAATCCCAGCTGAATGGAAACAAGCTATTCTCTCCAATCTTCAAAAGGTAGAGGTAAGAAGGACCCAAGCTGTTACAGACCAGTCACATTACTCCCAATACTATGGAAGGTAATGGAACGGCTAGTGAAAGAACTGATAAGAGAGTACATGGATGACAACAAAGACCACTATGAAGCTGAACATGTGTTCAGGAAATGCAGGTTGTGCGCATCCAGTCCTCTCATAGAATAGGGCAGCTGGACGTAATAGTAGGACCGAAAAATACTGGTTCATATAATATTTATTGACTTCGCAAAAGCCCTCGACACAGTACCCCACGCACATCTTATTGCGATGGTTGCTGAAATTGGCTTCGCTGACCCACTCCTATTATGTCTAAGAAAGTAACTTGAGAAGAGAAAGTTCCGCACCAAGGAAAATAGAGTGTATATGAGTTGGTGAGTCTCAACATTGAGAGTTTCACAGGTCACCATCTTAGGTTCACTCCTCTTCCTGAAATTCATTCACTATCTGTTAGACAAAGTTAGCTCGCCGGCATTAATCTACACTGAGGATGTAATGATCTGAAAGTCCATTGGAAATGAAAAGAAATTCAACTGAGCTCCAAAAGGAACTTACATCCATTTAGGAATGGGCAGTGAAAAACGGTTTAAAACTCAACCAACCGAAGTTCCACGTCATGTATATTCTGCCCCACATGACGCAAACGATTTACATCCTCAATGGGAGTCCGCTACCTAATGTCTCCTCAGAGTAACCACAGAAAGCCTCCAGACAAGCCTGAACTACTTAGGGGACGCAGCCAAGGCATATGCGACCCTTCACTTTATGCGAAGACAACTTGGTGCTATCACATCAGAATTATTCCTAACACTATTTGAGACGTATACGCACCTGGAGCTTCACAACGTCATGGCACCCCCTCTGCTTAAAAATGACTTAAATCTCTTAGATCGAGTGCAGAGACGAGCAACGAAATGGGTGATAGGGTTAAGAAATAAACCTTAAGATGATAGACTCCAGGATTTAGGATTAGTCTCCCTGAGTTATAGGAGAATCAGAGGTGATCTGATTATAGCGTACAGCATATTAGGCAAGCAAAACCATCCCAACATGAGCATCTTATCGATGCATCACACCACTGCTCTCGAGGCAATCTTTGAAGAATCGCGGATCAAAGAGCGAACACTCAGGGTCGTGCACAGTTCTTCTCATTAAGAGTCGTTACAATTTGGAGTGCTGTCCCAGCAGAGGTGATCACAGCCATCTCTGTGGATAGATTCAAGAAGAGACATGATATACTCGTACTCACATACGGATTATCATCTCCCTTGTGGACAAGCTGTACCTGATGCATGCCTTGAGACTTGCTAGTCGTTATTATATCCATTTACTCAGATCAGTAACCTAATCTATCTCACCTATTATCTCTGTTTCCACTCCCTTCCTTACACTTCGGTCTTCTCTCACAATCTTCACAAACAATTAATAAACTAAACTATCTATATATTACTTAGATTAGAAATCCACTTACCAACATCAGAATTTTCTCCTTATTATTCTCTACATTGCAACTAACGATCTCCGGCCTGGTAATGTTATTGCTACAGGTATCCAAAAACCCTACTACAATTAATTCAAATTCCGGGACATACAAACTCACAACCAACTGCCAACTGACTAGAATTAGACAGTTTAATGGATAGGCCCCCATTCATTGGACATTTTAAAGTACCCGGAACCGTACCGAAAGAACAAGGATCGAACGCGACAAAATCAATTGGTTTATACTAGCTCGTAAAAAAGATATTGGATATTGTATACTTTGTGATGTTGGACATCGGACTGGGGACTTTTGAAACTACAAGGCCAATGTATTGTACGTTTGGATTTGTAAAAAACAAACAGAATAGGCTGTAATAGGCTGTAACCATTTAACATTCTTCCGCAAAAAGTGCAGGTAATTTGCATTGAATATGATGGCCTCAGTCATTTACAACTTTTTCAATGTCAGTTTGTCCAGTCAGTTGACAAATAATAGTTTTTTTACTCAATGAAATCCTTTGTATTCCCGAATTCTATTTCCTCAAGATGAGGATAAGAAATAAATATTTTTTGTATAGGCTCCTTATGTAGTCAGGTCGTTATATATATGTAGACGCAGCTTTACTTGCAGAACTCAGTTGTGACCCTTGCATGGGTCCAGGTTATGAGTCATTTGGTTCAATATTTAATCTTACTCTCTGGTATCTACTCATGTTGTTTCATTGAAATTTCAAATTGAATCTTATACTGTATAATATTTGTTGCGAAGCATCTAGTTGATTCGATTAGTAGGGGATCATAAAGGCTTAAATGATGAACTCATTTAACGGGCCCGCAAACATCGTGTTGACTCCATCCAGTTTCATTTTGAAAGGAGCAGAAAGTTGGTGGCCTGTTCTAGTTCCAGCAATGTTGATCTCAGTTGATGAAGCTTTCTCTTGCACAGTGGTATTTTTCCTCTCTAGTTTTGACCTCTATCACGCATCAAAACTACTGTTAAAGCCACACTAAAAGTATTGTTCCTAACAAGCGTAATTTTGTCTGTTTTATTGCCTACTGACTTTTATTTTCTGCACATTTGGACTTAACAGTCTACAATCCACTTTTTTGGTTATTAGTTTTTGTTCCCACTTGTGTATTTCACCTGAAAACCTTTTCCTAATAACCGGACACTAAAAAATGTCTCAATGCCTGGTTTTTGAAACCCTATTGACTAAAGTATGCAGGGTGATGAGTACGAAGTGTGGTACCAAGAGGTCTTCACAAAACTAACACCCTCATCTTTCAGACGGTTTAACAAAAAGGAATGTGTTTGGTTGTGCCATCTGTTCTTTTCGAATGCAAAAAGTTTGTTATCCGATGCCACAGCAGACGTAAACACTCAAAAGGTGAACTATCAAGAGAGCTGGAGATGGCTCAAGTGATGCTTGTTCGATGAACACACAGATCAATGCACAAACATCACATTCAAGTCCAGAGCTGAATAACTTAAATGGACTGAAGTAGAAAAGACTGACCCCAAAGAAGTACATGATGAATAAATACTCAAGAAACCAGGTTTTTTAGTTCCTCGTTTTCTAAGTGGCGGTAATCAAGAGACACTCAAAAAATCTGATCGTAAGCTTTGGTCTTTCTCTAGTAAAAATAACATTCTAACCACCCGAGTCTTCATAAATCACCTAAGATCTCACACTGCGCAACTCAGCTTTGATTCCCACTTCAGTAAAAGCTAACGAGTGGGTACGAGTCATAAAAATGTAACGAACAAATGTCGTTAACGTAACGCCAGTTCCATAACGGCAGTTCCGATACCGAAGACTGATCACAGTGACAGAGAAGTTATCCTTCACAAAGTGTAGCAGAGCAAAAGCTTTGAGCCCAAATCCGCTTTGAGCGTAACACTGGGTTAATCAAAGGTCTATTAAATACGTTAATGTTTAAAGACATCCCTGGGGCCATCTTACTGAAAGAAAATCGAAATAGGTTGCTAAAAGTAGTATTTAAACCTCCCAGTGAAATGGACTTAATACTACAGAATGAACATAAACTGAAGGGATCAGGAGTTTTTGTCCGTAAAGACTTATCAATTGCGGATCGTATTGGAAAATGAGTGGTCAGAAGGAACTAAGACCGAGGTTAAATGCTGGCAAAAATAACAGAATCTTAGATTTTCGGGTGATGAGGCTTCAATAGAGAATGAAATCGAAGTCATTACGTTTGCAGCACGAAGTCGGAAATGATCTTCAGGTCTGCTACACAAATGCCCGGAGCGATCGGAGCTAGGTGTATAGATAGACTCAAATAAGTCGGACGTAATAGCCATCACAGAAACCCGGCTGACTCAGTCTGTAGACAATATCCAGAAACGTAAAGGAGAGGAAGGAGTAGCTCTATTTTCTAGAAATAATATTCCTTTTATCGGTATGGACATGTCTCATGTGAATTAGTTAGTTGCTCCTTGAGGTGCGAAGGACAAGACCTCCCGACTGGCTTCGTTTATCGCAGCCCAAACTGTAAGGTGAATGAGGTCCTTTTAGACAGGTTCAACACTTGGTCTTTAAGTGGTTGATGTTTAATTTTGGAGGACTTTGATGTATCCCCTGTAGACTGGAAAAGTGTAAGTACCTAATTGTCACAAAGTTCTTTCAAACAGAAACTGACTGACGCGGTTTTTACTAGCGCAATATGTAGAAGAAGTAACTGGACCCGAATCCGGATTCCTAATCATTCGTACTAAATCTCATACTAACCCAGTATGAGGACGCCTCAAACCTCGATTATATGTCACCCCTAGGTAGGGCTGGTAATGCAGTTCTAGTCTTTGATTTCCATATCCTTATCAACAACGATCTGTCAGCTCAAGCGAGATCAAATGTTTGTAAGAGAAATATAAAAGACATATACTCTGCAGCCTCAGAAAACTGGACAATAGAACCAGGATCCCACATCGAAACGGCTTGGGAGGTATTCAGAAATTTGTACATAAAAGTTGCCGCACTGCATATTCCTCTGACTATATCAAGGAACCAAAGATATTCCTTACCGTGACCCAGTGAGTTTCTCATTCTTCTCTGCAAGAAAAAGAGAATGTGGAAAATCTTAAGACATTTGAAACTTATCAGACAAAATCCCAATATCGGGAAGCCCAAAATATTTGTGCCTCAACCTTCCGCAAGTTTGGAAGATTGTATGAATAGAAGATAATAAAGGAATCTGTGGGGAAACCAAAATGCCTATACCTATACATAAACCAACGAAATAAGAGAAGAGAAAACATACCAGTATTATTAGGAGACAGTGGTACTACATCATTGGTTGAAGACGATTATGGTAAGACTCAAGTATTCTCAAGCTACTTTAGCGATGTATGTACTATAAATGTTCCTCTTCCTCGATTTCATGCAAACCCCACACGCACTGGTAATGAACTCAATCCAATGAATAAGCTTGATTCTGGTAAATCTATGTGACTCGATGGAATGCATCCTAGATTGTTCAAAGAACGGTCAAATTTCACCACAAATCCCTTAAGTATATGTTTTAGTATATCTGTAAACCAAGGTAGATTACCGAAAGACTGGAAGAACGCCATAGTAAGTCCTGTCTTAAAAACATGTACGTGACAAACCCGAGAACTATCAACCCGTAAGCCTATCTAGTGTGGTTGTGGAAATTGTAGAAAAGATTATTCGTAAGGAGATGTGTTAAGTACCTAAACGGTAATCAGATTTTTTCGAGAAGCAGCACGGCTTTTAAAACAGTCTGTTCATATCTCACAAACCTGTTAGTTGCCCGTGAAAGTTGGTGCTCTCTTAAAGATCGAAACCTACCTATAGATGTAGCCTTCATTGACTTTAGAAAGGTTTTCGACAAAGTCCCTCACAGCCGGATTTTTCCTAAGTTAAGTGGTATCGGAATTGGGAGAAACTTACTTATGAGGATCAAGGATTTCGTAGTCGGTCGCTAACGAAGAGCACAAGTTTTTTTAGCTGGGAAACTGTGCTTAGCGGGGTGCCTCAGGGTACAGTTTTGAATCAAGCATTAATTCCCCTGTATCTAAATAATATTCCTAATCTCCCATCTTCATCGGTTCTGTTATAAGCTGAATATATTAAGATAAGGAGAGCAATAAACAATGAAGGTAACAGTCTACAGTTTCAAAATGACTTACAGAAATTATCTGAATAGTCCAGAATCTGGCTGTTTCCGATAAACGCTTCCAATCGCATCATGATACATTTTGGTCACCAAGGTACAACAGATGCACGGCAAATAACACTGAGCTACCTGTTGTCCAAGCACAAAATTACCTAGGTGTCATCAATAGGCTAGACTTTAAAGCTACTGCACATTGCTGTGCGATAGCTGCCAAAGGTTTTAGAACCCTATGGTCTATACGTAGAGCCTTTAGCCGTGTCAATTTCAAGACATTTTTGACTTTTTATACAGTATTCTTCTATCCTAAACTTGAGTACTGCATACAAGGTGCCAGCCCCTGCCTAAAAAGACAATGAACTTTTTGGAATGGTTCAAAGAACCACAACTAAGTTGATTTCCTGAATCGCAAAGCTGCCGTATGAAAAGAGACTGGTTAAATTAAACCAGAAGGCTTTTAGTTTTTTTCTTGAAAGCTGGGGTAATCTGACCTAAATGTCTCAGTTTGAATCATATTTTGACATTAATCACTGTTAATCTGGCTGTAAAAGTATAACATTCAGCTGTAAAACCAGTTTCAGTACTTTTGGGATGTCTTCTGCAAACTGAACATTTTTGACAAACCTTCGTCATCATATCACGAGTCATAGTTAGTGTCAACATGGTAATTTTCGTTGATGTCCAGGAATATGTTGTGATATGTGAAGATCATTCATTTTGTAATCCCACTTTTAAACACCAGTTTCCGTGAGGATGTAAATATGGCACGACACTCGTCTTCCCTAATCTGTTGGTTTTATACAGTGACGTAAGCATAAAACTTACAGCTCATTTGAGCTGTATGAAGGAAAACCTGTTGCGTTTATTGAAAAGTCGCTGGCGAAAACCAACGGTCATATATTTCATGTACCGTAATTCAAGATTCACAGCAGTACAGCTATACAAAATAATCAAATCCCTATATTTTCTTGTTCTTCTGCATCGATAGTTTAATACTGTATTCTTTTTCTTGAGTTTTTCACGCTTGAAAATATTTCAAACTAAGCCATTATGATTTCATTATATATATATATATATATATATATATATATATATATATATATATATACTAGAGAATAAGCCTAGTTGCTACTAACTCCATTGTAATAATCTGTTCTTCAATTTACAGTTAGCTAACAAAAGACAGCCCACCAAGTTATGTGGTTATTTACTAATAAAGATTCAGATGGTTTGTTGGGATCAGCCACTTCATTAGGTCTAAACTTTAGTCATGATCCAGTTCCTGGTTTTTCTGTTGATCCACCCAACTCAGAACCATTGGGAACGATCCATGGTCCATATGATTTGACGTGGCGACTTCTTCCGGGTCAGAAAAAGAAAACGAAAGAAGAGGTTACTTTGTTTGTGTGCAACCTAAGTTCGATTGCTGCAACTAGGGAAGCTGGTACTGTTTTGCCAATTTTCCAAAGTACAGTCAAATGGATGAAAACATTACGTCATCCGAATATGCTTACTTGGATTGGTGGGTCAGAGATTGGAACAGGAAAATTACCTAATGAATTTGGTTTTGTTACGGAACGTGTCCTACCATTACGAGAATACTTACGCATTAAAGCAGATTGTGGAAATTTCAACCTCCTCTCTTCATGGGGTATACATCAGGTTGGTATCAGTAAACCAGATTACAATGATAATGCTTTATGTTTATTTTTTTTTTTAAAAAAAACAAACTATTTTTCTTTGTTATGTATCAAACAAGATTTAAATATGTGCGAAGATTAGTTTAACCTAAAAAGGATCGAAGAATTTTTGCTGGACTATGTGGTTCCATACATAAGATATTTCTTTACTCTATGGCTTACTGTTATTTTACCTACTCTCCATGTTATGAAAAATGACTATGCTTCATATGCGACTAATGAAAAACTTCAGTAAATTTCAGTGTGTACTGTTTATTTTCAAAATTCTCAATAATCTAATCATTTTCTCTACTCATACTTCATCATTATATTTTGACAAGTACATAAGTTATCTAAGTCAAATGCTTTTTTGAGCATGGTCAATTTCATTTACTTTCTGCTTGAACTTATCTCTCTTGAAAAGCAACGATCAAAGTTACTGCCATGACAGGTTTTATAAATTGCTTGATGATGTGTTTTTAATAAATTAGCCTAGTGAAACTAATTTTCATACTTCTAGTAACGAAGATAAGTTAAACCAGCATGGAAAATTTATGAAGTGAAATTGGTGTTTCTATTCTTAGTATTTATGCTTCTCCATTACTGATAGCTAAATCTTGATAAATCTATGTATTATCAGCCCAATTGACCGTACAGTATTATAATGTTGTTTTTTGTCGACTCAGTGATTATTGACACTGTACATTGATTTAGTAATACCATTTCATTCAGCATTCATTCTTTGTGTTCTCTTAAATCCTCATCAGCTTTGTCTTTTTCTTTTTAAGTTTATTTCACTATTATTCTACTTCTTGAAAAATATTGTCGAACCGTGATCCCTCCAATTACTGCTAATACTTCTACTACTATGGGATTTGAAGTGACGATCGCATCTCTGTGCTAATGTTGTATGGCAACCTAAACTAATGTATGTATGTACGTACGAGGTTCTACATTGCAACTGACTGACTGACTGTAACTGTTCTCACTTAACAAATTCATTACCGCCAGATCGATGGCACCAGGTTGAAACATAACCAAGCATTATCAAAATATTAGACAAGAAAATAGTTACTACAAACCTCTTGAATCTTATTATTTTACAGTTCATTCATACTGTAGCCAAAAAAAACATTACTAGCAATGATTATGTGTTGAAATGCGATTTCAAACAAATTTTTCTACATTCTGTAACAACCACGTACGTGTTTGTGTCTATTTATATTTTACCTGTACCGTAACATCTAACGTGTATTTCTTTGTGATCTGCGGTACCCGCAAACTACTCTAACTAGACTTCCAATCAGGATACGACTACTCCCTTCTCTCTTAACTCCAACTACTCCAAAACATAACTATTGAAACAATGACTATCAATGATATTAACTTTCTACTCGACTAAGTTAAATTTAACGATTGCCAAGCCAAATTTCTAAAGCATTTATAGTTTTTCAGTGTTTCATGTATAACTATGACATACTTAATAGTATGTATCCAGAGAAGATGATTGCTTAAGTTGTTAAACCACCTTAAAGTATGGAGGAAGTCGGACAAACTTGTAATGATATCTTTCACCATTACTCTAACATTTCACTATTTAAAACCTACAAATATGGAACAGATAAATATTTCTCTTACAAACTTCTCTTACGGTATTCATTTGTGTTTAAGTTTTGGTAACAGTATGAAGTGGTATAAACCGTACGGAAACGTTATAGTAATGAAAAGCTCACCAGGTAGATTTACCTTCACTGTAGTATTTAAACGTATTCACCAAAATATAATTCAGAATGTCGAAGTTAATTTAGCTATCCTAGATAGGTCAGTCAGTCAGTCAGTTACAACGTAGAACTTCGTACGTAAGTACATCAGTTCATGTTGCCATACCACATTAGCACAGAGACGCAATTGTCAATTCAAATCCCATAGTGGTAGAGATAGTAGATTGTATACTATTTGTACATGTATGAAGTTCAGATTGCGAATATTACTATACCAGTACTATATGCTGATGTATTTTGATGAATAAATCGTTACACACTAACCTAGATGTCATCTTCACCATAAAACTTCACAAGCAATTGAAATTAAGATATTCTTGACTAATACTTATGGAAAAAGTGTGTTTTACTAATATGCATAAAGAATAAAATCAAAACAGTGTTTGAATTAAGCATTGCTTGTTAATGTATCGATTACCATCTCAGTTGAGGTGGTTAGGACATGTGTTACGTATGCTTAACCACCGATCGCCTCGTCGAGCTATATTTTGCGGTGTAGGAATGGGTTGGAAGAAAGCTAGGGGCGGCCAGACCAAAACATGGCAGAAATCTATGAAGTCACTGATAAGTGGACTGAGCCACGTCGGTAATTGTCGACTACCTGGTTCGGGTCCGCAAGATTATAATAATCGATGGTTGGAGACCCTGAGTGATATGGCTCCAAATCGTTCGCAATGGTGCAGGTGCATCCTCTCATTAAGTTCTCTCAAATGCTAAACTTTTTAATTCTTCATCACTTTATCTTTATCTTTTTAAGTCTGTTTCACTAGATTCTACTTCTTGAATAATATCTTCGAATCCTAACCTCTCCGACTACTGCTAATACCTTTACTTCCTTTACTACTATTGGATTTGAATTGACAATTACATCTCTGTGCTAATGTGGTATGGCAACATAAACTGATGTACGTACGAAGTCCTATGTTGCTATTGGTTGATTGATTATATGCGTGTTGTAATTACTTCTGTCTTGTCACTAATGAGAACAATGTCACTCCTGCAGTAGATTTTGAAATAAATGCTTCTCTGCTATTCCATAATAGTTGATATGTTTTATGTGAAAATTCACGTTCAGCACTTTGAATTGAAATTATAAAGTCCTACTTTCGTTTTATTTCACTTACTGTCAATTATATTCTAACTAAAATGTTTTTTCCTTTAGACGTCTTGTATCTTTTCTATGTACTGCAAAGTCCAATTAACTACAATTGTTAATACAATTTTGACTTGCATAACACAGAACTTCACATAATTCTTAATAAATAACATAAAAAAGTAATCGGCAAGAAAAACACTAGTGATTAAGATGTTTAAACTCTTGAGGAAGATGAAAAATAACTTAATCTATAAGTACCAATGATTTTGAGCCAATAACATTGAAGGATACAAAGTTAACTTTAAAGTCAAATATTTATAAAGATCATTCCTAATATTTTTTCAGTAGGTTCTGTATTGAGTTTTGTAGACTTCCTTCAGATATACTCATTTTCAACGAATAGTAACACCAATCCATGGTTGGAGGATTTAGGTAAAATGATTTAGAATCGTTCATGATTACGAAGGTAGGCACATTCACTCTCTATCTTCCTCTCAACCTTAAATTCCAATATTCTTTCATACATATGTCTTTATTCTGTCTTCTCGAACTGCATTCTCAATGTCTAGTCTATCCTATTGTGATTGCTATTACATTATTCCGATCTATTTTGGGTTTTCATCTTGTTATTTTCACCTAGTTGTGCTAATGTAGTATGAGAACTTGAGCCACCACCTCTCATCTCTCATAGGCTATACTTTAATCACTGATAACTGAACAATAGAGTTAAGAAATTATCATCATAAAGTTAATCTTTTCATTGATATCCATTTTTTTTTCTTTCTGTTCATGTTTAGATTGCCAAAGCATTGATTTTTTTAAATGATGATGGAAAATTAGCACATAATGCTGTACGTTTAGATAGTGTATTTGTAACTACAGCTGGTGAATGGAAATTAGGCGGTTTAGATTTTGTTGGACCTATTAATGAACCACCACCATCTATTCGACAAACAGCAAGTTTTGTGAAAGCGAATACCACAGGTGAATGAATGTCTACCAATGTTGTTGTTGTTATTTGTTTGTTTTTCTTCTTTGTGTGTGTGTGCGTGTGTGCTTGTGACTTGGTCATTTTTCCTTTCAATTTGTTTATTAGTAAATACCGCACATTGAAATAATGTTCAATGTTAATCTTGTCATAGTTAGTTAATAATAAATTGTATTCGTTCATAGACAACATACTATATAGCAAGCTTACTATAAAATGTGGGAGTAATTCAAGTATTAATCGGGAAAAATCAATTTGAATGAGAGAAAGTTTAGGTCAACTTCATAAGGAATTAGAAAATAAGCTCTAAACCTAGTAATAATTTTGATAACCTTTGACCCAAAAATCTAATTCACAAGGCAATAGAGTAACGTAAGGAGATGCAGTCCCATAGTAGCCGATCACCAACAATAGATTCATACACCATTCGCTCGGTAACGATCCTGAAGCTCATTTGAACCATTTGTTTGGAAGCGGGGTATTCCAAGCCACCTAGAGGTGGGTGGGTCCTCCATACCCACTAACCCGGCTAAACTGCCAGACATTCGCTTTTCGTCTTTACAATCTCACAAAAAACACATTTGGCACGAGAATGAAGTGGTTAAGACTTTCTTTGCAGTGACTATATATGTGTGGCCATATGTGTTAGGGATGCTAGATTCCAAGAAATCTGAATTTTAGAATTTGTTTATGGAAACTTGAACCTATTGTTTTCACGGCAAAAGCACCCGTTATTACCTTCAGTTTGTGTCTCTCATCTGAAGGGTTTGTTCGTTCCGGGCTTCTTGTGGATCGTATATTCTGCCTGCTGACTCTGGACTTCTTCCTTCAGTTAGCTGGATTGGGGTGCAGAAGAATAGCTTAGGTTGTCCTGTTATTGTATCGTTAGTTATACGTCCTGTTCGTTGATACGAAGTTCTACCCTGATCTTGCAAGCATTAGGAAACTACACATACTTTCTCACTTCTTAAGGTGATTTTCACACCGATTAAGTAATAGAGAATGAACTGGTTCATAATATACTTTTCCTTTAATAATCAAGCCTGCACCATGAGTGACGCAAGTTTTCATAAGCCTTATTCATACTAATGGGGATCAGAGTACTGGCTAATTTTAGACAGTGTTGGCTTCAGTTTCCAGCCAAAAAGCCTTTTTAGTGATGAATTACAGTAAGCAGTAGGGTATCTTTAAGAAGTCTCATTAAAATATCATTAAAAGTCAAGTTTTAATTCAAACTACCTTTTTATTTGAAAGTATTCAATAAAATGCGATGGAATTAGTTTTCATCTTTTATGACGAAGAAAAATATCTAATGACTACCTTCCAAAAGAACGGCTATATACGTAATTTCATTAAAAAACATCAACTGAAATCGTTAATATAAGCGAAATCAAGTACAGAAACCAATAAACGGATCATCCTACCATGCATAAGAGACATATTGGAACTTACAGCACGACTACTGAGACTATTTGCAATAGGTGTAACACACAAACCAACAAAATCACTTTAATCAATTCTATGTAGACCAAAGGACAAAACGACAAAGGAAGAAAAACCAAATATCATCTACAAAATAAATTGTTCAGATTGTGAAAAACACTACATAGGACAATGTGGACGTCTTCTTCAGCTTCGTTTATGTGAACATCAGTTAGCTGTCAAACGCCATGACTTTTCTTCGCTTATATCATTACATATTGACAACTATGGACATAGGTTCGATTTGAACACTGTGGAAATACTGGATAGGTGGAGCACAAAGAACCCTAGAGAATTTTTAGAAGTTTAGCACTCAGGTTAATCAGCAATCAAGAAACAGATCAAAAGAGTGCTACAATCAAAACAAAGTTGCAAACAACCACAGATTTCAGGTCAACATCAACCAATCAAGATCGAGGTTAACAAAACAAGTTACGGGTCAAACGTGAAGAAATTCGAATACTTCACTTCTTTCTGAACTTTGTGCTGATGACATTGTTCAGAAGAACAATGAAAGCTCCACAATCAAAACATCCAGCTCAGAGAACGAAACACCACCACAATCATTCGCCTGAGCTACAAATTTTCTCCACCATCTCAAAGTAGTTCTGTATTCATAATTAACTAGTCCAACCGCACACACTAATAAAGTCAGTGTAAACAATCTACCGAAATATAAGCAGATTCATTCACTACAATCTAAGCCACAAAGTTTATGTAAGAATAAATGATACTATCCAAACCTGAACTAGGTGAAATGCGATTTGAATCAACAGATCACTAATTGAAGATCGGGTATTGTAATCACAAAGCCACCATCTCCTAACAGTCAAGTTGTATTGAGTACCACTTGAGTTTTATGATTGAGTTTTCTACCATAAATGTTATAAATGACTCAGCTCGGATACAGAAGGCTCGATTGGCTTTTGCCAACCTGCGTCACTTATGGCGTAGGCGAGATATCCGTTTGCTGATTAAAAGACGAGTGTACTGCGCAGTAGTTCGCTCCGTCTTACTTTATGGCTGTGAAACATAGCCAGTGAGAGTAGAAGATATTCGTCGGTTATTGGTTTTCTATCATCAGTGTCTCCGAAACATTGCTCGTACATCCTGGGACACCCGAGTAAGCAACGCTGTTATTAGGAATCGGGTGCTAGGTAAGAATGACAGATCAATAGATGAAGTGGTGAAACTTCATCAGTTGAGATGGTTGGGACATGTGCTGCGTATGCCTAACCACTGACTGCCTCGACGAGCTTGTTTTGTAGTGTAGGAATAGGTTGGAAGAAAGCTAGGGGCGGCCAGACCAAAACATGGCAGAAATCCATGAAGTCATTGACTAGTGGACTGAGTCATGTTAGTAGATGTAGACTACATGGTTGGGGTCCGCGAGATGATAATAATCGATGGTTAGAGACCTTGAATGACATGGCTGAAAACCGTTCGCAATGGCGCCGGTGCATTTATTCTTTGTGTTCTCTCAAACCCTAATCTTCTGGATTCTTCAACACCTCTAGTTTCGACTCTCTAAACTTTTCTCACTGAATCATACTTCTTGAATAGTATCTTCTAACCCTAACTTCTCCGATTACTTCTAATTCCCTTACTACCTCTACTACTATTGGATTTGAATTGACAATTATACCTCTGTGCTGATGTGGTATGGCAACATGAACTGATGTACTTACGTACGAAGTTCTACGTTGCAACTGACTGACTGACTGATATAAATGACTAGTTGCTTTCCATTAGTTTTATATATACACACTGTTCGTCTTTTTTTATTCAACTTCTCAATAAATGATTGCCTATGTAAATTCATGATGAAGTTTGTTTTTTTTCCTATTACATTTCCACCATAGATCCATATATGCCTCCAGACAATCGTCTTATTGATTCATGGGGTTTAGGTTGTTTAATATGGGAAATATTTAATCCATCTTCCACTTTAACCGATCGTACTCAACTACTTGAATCCAGTTATTCAAAAAGAATTCCTAAAGCATTAATACATGATTATCGACGTCTTGTTGCTCAAAGTGCTGCTACAAAAAGTGGCGTGAAACGATTCACTGTGTCCCAGTTCCTTCAATCAGCTCGTAATTCAGAAAAACAAGGATTTTTAGCAAATGATTATGTAGATACATTGTTATTTTTAGAAGAGATTGAATTAAAAGATAGTATGGTAAGAAAAATCTTCATTTTGTTTTTATAGTTGTAATTAACTTCTCATATGTATTGTTCTTTGTGCGTTAAGTTAGTTATTATTGGCTCACAGGTTCCAATCCGAATTCACTTATTTGCTGTTTAAATGACCAATTATTGTCACCAGCCCCTACCTATACCTATGTAAGTGACTTCAGAAACCTTACGCTTGCTCTATTATAAGTTATATGACATCATATATTTTTTTATAATGACTAGGGTCTGAAATCACACATGTTGTATCAGTGTGACTATGATAATACTTATCGATCAAGAAAATATGGTCAAACATTGAGTAAACACGTTCTGCTTTTTGTCGAACATGATTACATTCGAAAAATTTATTATTTCTAGATTTCACGAGTATTTTATAATTCTGCATAGCTTTATACTCGAATTCTGTTAGAAAATCGATCGATCGATGTTGTGTCATGGTCATTTATGATATGAAGAAAAAAACATACTCTGAAATCTATACTTACTTACTTACTTACTTACGCCTGTTACCCCCAATGGAGCATAGGCCACCAACCAGTTTTCTCCAACCAACTCTGTCCTGGGCTTCCCTTTCCAATTCTGTCCAATTTTGGTTCATTCCTCTCATATCTTTCTCTATTTCTCGGCGTCATGTGTTCCTTGGCCTTCCTCTTTTCCTTTTGCCTTGAGGTTTCCATGTGAGGGCTTGTCTTGTGACGCAGTTAGGTGCTTTTCGCGTAGTGTGTATCCTATCCACTTCCACCGCACTCTGAAATCTATGCCTAATCATTGTTCCAACGTCGTTCATCAATGAATAATTAATTTCACCCATAAATTGTTATCAACTAAAAAACAACTACCACTTATTTGAATCAATCAATTAATCGTGTGTCTACTTTTCTAATAATTGGATTACAAAATGCTCAAGCTCAGTGTGTTTCTTACATCATTAACAGTAGAATCAATATGTGTCTGATTTTATGCGATTATATGTTGTGTTTTGTTTTTTTTTGTCAATGTTTATCGATCTGCAAGGCCGTACTTCATTGATAAACTGTGAATTTTTTCTAAAGTTATGACCTTTTTTTCAGTTGAAAAAGCTCTTGCATCATTCATGCTCTCAGCATCTTTTGTTTTCAAGCACTGATACAATATGAAATTATGGTTAGTTAAAGTTAGAGTGTCTGTATTTCGTGTTAATTATATATATATATATATATATATATATATATATATATATATATACATATGAATACATAAATAAGACATGTGATAGTTGGTCAAACAATGACAGTGCATTCAATTATATTCGAACCTCTTAAGTATCTGCCATAACAATTCTAAATTAAACTTGATTTTTTCCAAACACTTGAGTTATAGCAACTGAATTATGATCTTGTTAATTCTTATCCAGTAAGATCCAAAGCTTTTCTGTCAACGTAGCTCTTCATGTTGCATTATGTTCGACTTCGGGAATTCTCGGTGATCATCGGGTATTCTCAGACCATCATGTCGAGCTTACCATTTTAGCCAGTCAAGACTGAACTCCAATGTGGCCGAATGATCGAGTGTGCAACGAAATAAATCTTCCTATCCCTTTCCGTATATCATACGTAGGTGAACTCAGTGTGTCCGAAAGCGATAATGAGAAGCCAAATACAGATTCGGTTGGATGAGTTTATTTCAGGCAATCGTTCATGCAGACATGATAACCAAAAGCATACAAGCAAAGTAAAGCGCAAAAGGCAAGTGAGCCAACTCCATTCAATGAACCATGACTAAGAATTTATAGCCAGAGATGTAATAAACAAACTAGGCGTGCACACACACGACGAATAAAAGCAACGAAGATATGAGCGAATGACTGACAAGGTCAGAAGACAAGTGCGCTAATTAATTTGTCCAAAAGCTAGGATGAGCCGTGTCAGCTAGACGTGACAGCACTCACTACGATTTAATTAATGATGTTTATATAGTAGTAGTAGTAGTAGTAGTGTAGTGAAGGAGAACACAGGTGACGGCAACCGAATTGTATTTAACGAAAAGTACAGTTACTTAGTAAAATAGGAAAACCATATCGTAACCGTTAATTTGCAAATCTTCAATCCATTGTCTGACATTTCAATGTTCATGCGTTTCATACAAATTCCATTGTGTTCCCACTCTTCCTTTCTTGATCTTCCCCCCTCTTCTGCTGCCAGACATTACGTTTTCACTCGCGTCATATACTACTTATAAGTAGCACGTACCACAGTAGTAGTAGTAGTCGTAGTCGGTAAGAAAATCTTCATCAGTAGCAATTGGTTTTTCAGCACTTCTTCACTTGCGTTACCTTTTACTTTGATTATTTACTTCTGTCCAATTGTAGGAAAAATCAATATTTTTAAAAAATCTCGCTACACAAGTAACAAGTTTTCCAGATGATGTATGCCGTCATAAAATACTACCTCATTTAGTGAATGGTTTACGTTATGGATCAGCTGGTATTGAAGCTCTTCTGCCTGTACTACGTCTTATTCCTTTATTATCAGAGAATGATTTTCAAACTTATGTTCTTCCATGTCTTATAAAATTATTCTCATCACCTGAACGTGCAACACGTGTACGCCTTTTGGAACATTTACCGGATTTTGTACAACATTTACAAACAAAATGTATAGAAACACAAATTTTCGGTCCAGTCTCCGCTGGTTTCACCGATACACATCCAGTTGTACGTGAAGCCACTGTACGTGCAATGATTCATTTAGCACCGAAACTTTCAACAAAACTACTCAATGAGAATTTATTAAAACATATAACAACATTACAAGTTAGTGAAAATTGATAGAATTTGTGGATAATCATATATTTTAATGTAACTTCATACACTACTTATTCCATAATTTAGTTATCATTTAATTTCCCAAGGTCTTGTCATTCAGTACTAATTAAATTCTATAAATTAGGGAACACGCATATTTAAATGGTGTCTGCAGAAGTATTTCTTATTTTGTAGCGTTCATGTAGAGGTTGCTTTAGGCTTGAATTTCTTGCTTAACATTATGTTATAATGCTGCTACGTATAGCTATTCAGTCCTAGCGGCGTCCAAATTCAAATATCCCAATACGACCCAAAATACTATTTCCAAATCTCCTATATATCAGAACGCAACACCGTGGGATGGAGTTGTTTATTGGGTCGAGTACAGAAGAGAGGTAGGCAGGAAGAAACGGAATCGGAATCATGAAGTCTTACAGATAGTGCGTATTTATACATTTACTTTGAATAGAAAAGAGCATCAAAGTCTGTGACATTGACAGTTTAGGACGACCAATAGGAAAGAACATTTGAAATGACATTGACAGTCCGGATGACCAATAAGAGACAACATTGAAGTATTTGACTTTGACAGTTAAAACGACCATAATTTTGACCAATAGAATTATACTTCCAAAAATAGTACTCTTAGGATATTTGGTGAATATCCTAACACATCACTTGCTAACATTCCACATCCGAAACCACTCAGCAACTTACATTCCTTCAATAAATCATATTCTTATTCATCATCCGCCTTGACTTACAATATTGACTACTGCAGAAACTGTTCATACAGAAGTTTGGAGAGATCAAGCCAAAGTAAATAGCATCAGTGAATGATTGTTGGGCAGAGCTCTGTGTTGATTGATGTAAACTACTTAGCTGGTATCTGCTCATTTATCTCAGCCAATAGTTAGACAGACAGACAGACAAATACAACACAGAACTTCGTACGTAAGTACATCAGTTCAGGTTGCCATACCACATCACCACAGAGATGAAACTGTCAGTTCAAATCCAAGAGTGATAGCGATAGTAGAAGTATTAGCAGTAATGAAGAAGATTATAGTTCGAAGATATGATTCGAGAAGTATAATTCAGTAAGATAAACTTAGAAAAAGAAAGGTAGAGATGATGAGGAATTCAGAAGGTTAGAGAACACAAACAGTGGATGCACCTGCACCATTGCAAACGATTCTGAGACATGTCGTTCCAGGTCTCTAACCATCGGTGACTTTTGTCTCGCGGACCCCAACCAGGTAGCCTCGATTTACCAACATGACTCAGTCCAATTGTCAGTGACTTCATGGATTTCTGCCATGTTTTGGTCTGGCCGCCCCTAACTTTCTTCCAACCTACTCCTACACTGCAAAACATAGCTCGTCGTGGCAGTCGGTAGTTAGCCATATGTAACACATGTCCCAAAAAGTCAAGTGATGAAGTTTCACTACTTCATCTATTGATTTGCCATCCCTACCTAAACATTAGGTGACATGCCTCAGATACATTCAATCTATTTTCCTTCGGATCGTTTGTTTCGAAATCATTGTTTACGTTTTATTTATCACATTTTCTATACCTGATGCTTTTTTTATTATTATTAATTATACTTCTGCTACTTTATTATCATATTGAAAATTTCATCTCACTGTTCTGATGTGGTGTGTGTAGCAGCCTGAATTGATGTACATGTTTTGAAGATTTTTTTACACCGTTAAGTTGCATAGTTAACAGTAATGCGCACCAAACAAAAAGTTTTCATGGCTTCATTATAATAAAAAGTCATCATCATCATCAACATGGTATCAAAAATAGCACTAAAGTAAGGAGAGTGATGTCAGTGATTGTCTGAATAGTAATTCAATGACAATCATGTGTTTTTAAATAACGTTCACGTTTCTTCTTGTAAATTAGACATTTTATCAGTCTATTAAATTTCAAAATTCATGATTTATAGTAACCGTCGTCTTCTCATCGCTTCCTTCAAATTTATCAAAGGGACTAACTTTTGTTTTTTACTTTTTACTTACGCCTGTTACCCCTAATGTGTAGCACAGGCTGCCGACCACCGAATTATTTTTTCTGGATATCACGTCAAATCTGTAGCACATTTCTTAGTCCTCTTGCATCAATCTTTTCTGTTTGATATGTAAATGTTAGGATATTCATCAAATATCCTAATGAAATTATTTTGTGAGTCTAATTCTATTGGTCAATATTTAAGGTCATCCCAAACTATCAAGTTCACATACTCTTAAATGTTCTTTCCTATTGGTTAGTATTCATGGTCAACGTAACTGTATAAATATACATTGTCTGTAAAGTTTTATGCTCCTCTTCTTCTTCTGTACAAACCATCATATTTTCTAAGTGCTTGTAGAATACACTTTCTACGTCATATCAAAACTTTTTGATACTGTTAGTGTGGGCTTGAGACGCTTGGATTACAGTTGTCTATCGTGTCATTAGATCACTTGTCTTCGCCCTTGTTTACCGATTAAGGTGAACTCGTAGCAGTTCAAGCATATCAATTGACGAGTCATAACAGTGAATAACCACAAGTATTATTTTAGTAGAGTTTTGTTCTCTGAGTTGGATAATTATTGTTTTGCTAACATAATACATCATGTTAATTCCTTTTTATTCGCATTTATCTTAAATCTCTAGGCACGAGATACACAAGGTGGAATTCGTACTAATGCAACTGTATGTTTAGCAAAATTAGCATCATATTTTTCAAAACAAGTACAACAAGGTCCAATGTTGGGTGCTTTTCTTCGTGCAACTCGTGATCCATTCTTGCCTAATCGTCAAGCAGCTATAACTGCTTTAGCTGCTACACAAGTAAGAAACATACATGCCTTTGCATGATGCATACTTTTTTAGTTGTTAATATTTTTTAAAAACAAATCAAATGTGTAAAAACATAAATCTCCAAAGCTGTAACTGAAAATATCGTAACAGTGATCATTAGTGACTAGCTTCTTCGTGAGGAAATTCTCAGAGTTCTAGTGAGAAGACGTGACCAATGGAGTTCAACCCTGTCGGGTGTAGGCAGTGACTACCAAAGACAAATGGGTGAGATCGCGTAAAATCCCTAGATCAATCAGAGTTAGACATTAACACCGTTGGATGTCGGCCCAGTGGTCCGATGGTTAGGCGTTCGCGCACAATACCAAAGGTCCTGGGTTCGGATCATGCGAGGTACAGGAGTCATGGATGCGTACTGCTGCTGATGGGTTCCATACCAGGACGAAACGGCCGTCCAGTGCTTCCAGGTTTCTGATGGTGGTCTAACACAATGATTGATTGATGATTTCAAATGTGTAAAAACACAAATCTCCAAAGCTCTAACTGACAAATTATAATATTTGCTTGTGTGTTGTCTCGACGATGAGCCTGAAAGTTGTCACGAACAAATTCTGTTATTTTGGTTTAAAATGAAAATTTTAACTAAGAATTCTGAATGTCAAAAATGTTATAGATTCACTACATTCTATGTTTTATCGATTAACACTGATTACCTGGTTCCGAATTGCTTGCATTCCTCAAAATCCAATACTATTCTCTTTGACTAGCAGATTTTAATACTCGATAGTTTAAATCCACGCTGGATCAGTCGGAGTTTTTTTTGCAATAATTTACTAATAATAAAAAGGAATTAGACAATTATTTTGAATTTATTACATACACTTAACATACTAAATCTTTTTAATCATTATTCTGTGTAGTTTACATAAACTGCACCTGTTTTTACATTTCTCCTTTTATCCTTTAAAATTATATGAACAAGGTCTACTACTAATCAACTATGTGAAACTTATTGTCTAACGAATCACGTGTAATTTACTGTTTATGAGAAAATTTTCAATATATATCTACATAAATCTCACAACATGAGAAAAGAGTGAATTATTGATTGTTTCGGATTAAAAATATGTCCCTGACTTATCATGATATCAGCACATGCTTCTAAAATCTATATATATGCATCCCAAAATTATTACCATTCATTTAGGTTACAGTTAGCTCTTCCGCACAAATGATATTCATTAAGTCATGTGGTATCGGGTATGTAAATTTTTGGAAAAATAATCGCCCTTGCAATAGAATGAATAGACTGAGTCTCAAACGTTGAGTAACTGCTTACCCTTGTGTAAAATCATGATTTTTTCCGTATTTCTCTGTCACTTTACAATTTTTTTTCAATATAATCACCATACTACTGAATTATCTTGTAGTAGAGATACTTTTCACCACTAATTTTTCTGTGTCATTAGTTCGGTTAGTTGACTGACATGCTTCATAAAGTAGATAATCACAAGTACTTGTTTGAAAACATTTAAAAAACTGACTGATGACACTACGCAGTTTAATTTCTCTTATTAATGTAGGATTCGGTTTTTTTTTGGATTAATTTTCGTTTGAATATTATCAGGTAGATCCTGAAATCATATAACTAGTTATCAATATCGACAAAATAAATCATATCGGAAATAGTTCAGTATCATTTTTACAAAATAAAATTTATTCACAACTGTTGATGAATGCTTTAATTAGTACATTGCATTGAAGAATTTTGGAATAAATTCTCAGACATGTGACTTAGTAGACTCAACATTGTACTTTTTCACTAGGTCACATTGTTTTAAATACCTATTCTAAATTTATTTCGATTATTTAGCTAATATTAATGGTATATTCAATATATATAGCTACCAGACTAATATTTCGAATTGTCTGACGTAGCACCATGTTATACATTTTGTTCATTCATATATCTCTTCTTTAATGGTTAATTTCGTTAC